AGGAGGGACACAGAGGGGAAAATGGCCATGTTAACTCTGGAACCTAATGATGGCTGGCCAGAAATTGGAACCTTCTTCCCCTGTTAACTCTGAAACCTAACGATGACTGCCCAGAGATGGAAACTTCCTCCTTCCCCTGCTGTTAACTCTGAAACGTAATGATGGCTGCCCAGATTTGGAAACCTTCCCTCCTCCTGTTAACTCTGAAACCTAATGATGACTGGCCAGAGATGGAAACTGCCTCCTTCCCCCTTCTGTTAAGTCTGAAACCTAATGATGATTGTCCAGAGGCAGAAACCTCCTCCTCCCTGTTAACTCTGAAACCTAATGATGGCTGCCCAGAGGCAGAAACCTCCTTCCCACCCCATTAACTCTGAAACCTAACGATGCCAATCTGAATCCCCTCCCCAGGCAGGTCTCCTCACTTGATCTCATTGGCTGCCTCCTCCTGCCCATCCCGTTTTTTCCTCCGGTAACTGATGACCCTCCGGGTGAAGAAAACGACGGTGGCGATGGCGCCCAGGGAACCCAACACGGCGCCAGCGATGACGGCTTTGGTGCTCGCTGCCGAAAAAAACCAGAATGGTGGCACCAGGGCGGTTTATTACTCTGGGGACGCCCCAGGGACATCACGGGGACCCCCCCCCGGGCCTCCCAGACACGTACTCACTTTGGTGCACCTCCAGGACGATGCTGCACTCAGCTGAACCCACCCGGTTCTCGGCCACGCAGACATAGAGTCCCGCCATGTCCAGGGAGAGGTTGGTCAGTTTGAGGGTGCCCCTGGCCCGGTCTGGGGGGGGGGGAAAATTGGGGTGCTGACCCACCGCACCACCCCCGTGTGCCCCCCTGAACTCCCTGTGTGGGTGCGGGCAGGATTAAGGGGATATTGCCCGGGATTGGGCAGGATTAAGGGGATTTTCCCAGGATTGGTCAGGATTAAGGGGATATGGGGCAGGATTAAGGGGATATTCCCCAGTATTGGGCAGGATTAAGGGGATTTTCCCAGGAATGGGCAGGACTAAGGGGATATTCCCCAGGATCAGACAGGATTAAGGGGATATTTCCCAGGAATGAGCAGGATTAAGGGAACAATCCTGGGATTAAGGGGATAATCCCCTGCCTACACATTCTGGAATGGTCCGAATTGAGGCTCCAACACCGAAAACACCCCCCTGGGAATTTCTCCCACCCCCCCACCATGTCCCCTGGTGTCACCTTACCCTGTGCGGGTGGGAAGAAGACCTGCAGGGTTGGGGACATCCGCTGCCACTGGAACATGGGTGGTGGCTTCCCCTTGGCAGACCCACAGCTCAAGGTGACATTGGCGCCCACCGCCGGGTCCCCATGCAGGTGGCACGTGGGGGTGGCCGGTGGCACTGCGGGGACATTGGTTAATCCCATGGGGACGTCACCAGGGGAGGTCCCAAGGGGGGTGGCGGCACCTTACCGAGGACGGTGAGGTTGATGACGGCGACGTTCTTGCTGGCGCTGGCAGCATCATCCACCACGTTGACAGTGCAGATGTACTGGCCAGTGTCACCTTCGTGGGTGGCGTTGATGACGACAGAGACGTTGTGGTTGACGACTGGGTAGAGGAAAGCCACACGGGGCTTCAGCGGCGTCTCCTCCACCTTCACCACCCCGTCCAGGTAGGTCAGAATCTGTGCCGGCAGTGGGGAAAAGAAATATCTTCTGGTCGTGGGTTCCATGGTCACCTCCCATCATGGGCACCAGGAGCAACCCACCATCACGGTCACCTGCCATCATGGGCATCTCCCCATGGTGGTCACCATGACCTTCACCCCATCATGGGCACCATCAGCATCCTTCCATCATGGTCACCTCCCCATGGTGGGCACCATACCCTTCATCCCATCATGGTCACCACCTCATCATGGGGACCACGAGCATCCCCCCAACCATGGGCATCTCCGCATGGTGGGCACCATGAGGTTCTTCCTGTCATAGTCACCTCCCATCATGGGCACCATGAGCATCTCCCAGACATTGCCACCACCCCATCATGGCCAACACCCCACGGTGGTCACATCCCATGGTGGTCACCGTGAGGGGCCCCCCAACCATTGTCACCTCCCCATGGTGGTCACCACGAGCATCACCCCATCACAGGCACCTCCCATGGCGGTCACCACGACCTTCACCCCACCATGGCCACCACCCCATGGTGGTCACATCCCATGGTGGCCACCAC